TCTGTGTACTTAGCTCCCATTGAGCTTAAATTGCTCTCAGTATTGGGATAATGACAATTCGATAATACAGGATGTGGAAGACAAACCAAATAAATTAACCAGCTGCTTTTAAGGCTGGTTCGCTCAATGACTTACCCCTAAAATGCTTTGTAGAGCATTCATGCTCAGTAGGTCTCTAGGCAGTTTTATGACTAGAAGAAAGAAATGGATTTTATTAAATGTCAGTGAAATAGGGGCAGATAGCTTTGTGGTACTTAAATTAGTGTGGAATGTGGGTAAGAAAAATAGTTTATCTTTCTCTAAATCATCAGTGCAGAACTTCCCTTGGCATTCCTTCTAGCAAATGTGTTCCTACTCAAAATTCCCACAGATTAGGATAAGACAGTAAATGGAAGTGCACTATTTGGTGCTGATCTCCTGTGTGAAGCTCTATGTCCCTTGGAGTAAATCCCACAGAACTCTAGTGATAAAAACTTCAGCAATTGCTGGTAGACATAATAAGTTAAATACCAGGTGAGGCTTAGAAGCTAGAACTCGTGAGTGAGGAATATGGGCAGGCGAAGAGGGACAAGAGGAACTCCTGAGGAGCCAGGGACTTGATGCAAGGAGAGGTTCGGTTAGATGCAGAGAGCCTGAGAGATGAATGCCATTCAAGTTCAGAGAGCCTTCTGTGGTGCCCAGGATATCACTTTGTAGGCCAACATAAGGCACATCTGTGTCCCTCAGTGAAAAGAGCAGCAGCTACTTGAACGGAGCACGAGAAAACTGACACTTAAAGTAGTTTTCAAATGTTTGATGAGTTTTATGCAGAAAACTGTGGAACGGGCAGTAGTCTGTCCTTCCGGAGTTAGCATGAGCTCAGTAGAGTAAGTCCCTTCTCTTCTGACAGGGAAAATGTGTTAATTGTATGAATTAGCTTGTAGGTCTTTCCATTTTAGAGATGGCAGATTTCTATGTAGTCAATGCAGTTTTTAAAGTATTAGGAGCTACAGATGGCTTATATAGCTGAAGAGAGGCTCTGGACCATCATTACATAGCTCCACCAGTTGCAAATACATCGTGAATTGACAATGAGGGCAGGATTAAGAATAGCCCTCAGAAAGCCTACTTGATGTCTACTGTCCATCATGCCCATGTGGCTAGCAAAGTGAAAGGCATGGTTTTTTCCCAGAAGGAAAAGGCAAGGAAGCTCAGATGATACCCAGACTGAGGGAAGAAGGTGCCTTGACCAGATAGTGGTGCTGTGATTGGACCAGCATGGTTATAAAGCACACAACAGGACCAAGCAATTGGAGAGACATGACTTACAGTGGAATGCTTGCTTATTACAGATAATTCATTTTTATCCAAAAAAGACAATAGTGATGTGATAAAAAACTATTACATTTTGAGAAACATCCAAAAATAAGGCAAATCACATTGAACTTGTAGTGATAAATAATTTAAAATATCTCATTCACTTTGAGAAGTTAGCATGTTTCCTCTTTTGGTCTGGGGGTTTGATTTCCAGCATGTTGCATCCATGTCCTTGACCTTTTTGTCTTCATGAAACCTTCGCTGAAGGAGGGGGATCTTTGCTCTGCCCACTTAATGTCAAACAGTTTGCAGAGCGTGGCTGAACTAAACCTGTCACGGACTGACTGCTTAATTCTTTTCCTTTTCTTCCTGTCCTCTCCTAGAAGTTTTCCCCAGAGCTAGAATAGGACAAAGAGAAGCCAGGGGCCAGCTGGCCTCAGTTTCCCCTGCTAACCCCAAGCACACTGATTGTAACAGAGGGGATTTTGTGGAGTGAATTTAAAAAAGAACAGACGGAGACCATTGTCCTTGGAGATGTGGGTGGGTAGAGGTGGAGGTAGGTGTAAGCAGAGGTGGGTGGAGATGGGGTAGATGGAGGCAGGGTGTGTTGGGGGTGAGGGGTAAGAGGCCCTCAAGCTTCTGAGCATTGTCTTTCTGAAAGACTCTGTAGCACTTGGACCCAAAGCTCTATTTTATATCTTGTTATTTTAATCTAGATGATGGTATCCTTCTAAGATCCATGATCTCATGAGTCCATGGGTGGTAGTTATGTAGGTTTCTAGTACGAGGCCTGATTTCACTCTTACTCATCAGGTCTAAACTCCAGCTAGACAGCTGTTGGCTACTGCCAAGATAGGAATGTCACCATTACCTTTAGGGACACTTTGCCATGTTGTTTATTGTGGTTCAGAGGCATCTCAGCAGGATTTCTTCAGATGTAAATAATATATAACATAGGTGCTTGCAGAGACCAGCGTGAGGTGAGAGAATAGCAGAGTGACTTCTCTCCTTTTTCTAGTCAATTTCAGGGCATTTCTGTACATTTTAAATGTTTTACTATACAGCAAGAAAAGTCTACTCCCTTTCACCTAATTGCCCAGTTTTTAAAATTGCTGTTATCACATTTTTTTTTTCTTTCAAATGAATTTCTAGTATGTTGGGAATAACTAGAATTAATTCCATGGGATTTTCTGTGGTCCTTCATGAGAGTCACATGGAGTGACTTTTTGTGGACTTCAGTGGAGTGTCTTTGTTTGGCTTCTGTGTGAGTCCTGTAACTTCAATATCTGGTTTCTTTCCCTTTTCTCATTTTGATTGGTCCCCTGAAGTTGGATTTGTGATATGGCTATTCTCGTGTTTATTACTCTAGGTGCAATATGATTTTCCTTTTTACAAAGTTGGAGAATATTTTTAATCCTTTTATTGTCCTTTATTTACTTATTTTTGTTACCCCTGAAGAATGGTGAGATAAAGAATTGGATCTAACTTTTAAAGTTCCTGGCTGCTCTGTGGGATATTTCAGTCCTGTGGAGTCACAAGTGAAAGATTTATCCTATTCCCTGGCTAATAACATTTTTTTTTCCCCGATACTGAGCCTTCTGTAGGTGCCCAGCCATGCCAATGACAACAGGAGTGGTGACAGCTTGGCCTGTGCAGCGTGAGCTTTTGTGCTTCAGCTGTGATTTTCCCGGACTAGCCTCATATCCACCCTTGTTACACTGAGCATGCAAAGTACCTATCTCTGGTACCTAACTGAGCAGCTTTTGGCAGGCTGTCTTGGCAGAATGTTAAATCACAGCCTTTACTGGGTTCTCATTTTTTACAAATTTTATAGAATCTTTAATGTAAACTTTTGGGTGGATTTACTTTTTAAACACAGTACATATTGTTTATTTTTCCTTCCAGTACCGAGTTGGTCCTGAGGTGGGAACTGATGGTAGATTCCTAGCCGCCTTGCCAGCCAATCCTCTTAGCAGCCAATGATCAGTGGCTGTGCCCTGATCCATTTGTCACAGTCCCCTTCAGACCAAGGCCACAAGTAGAGGAGAGAGTCTGTGATCTCACCTGGTTAAAATAATTATTAACTGCTAATTGTTAGTAGATTAAGAATCCCTTTCTGTGGCCAAAAATTATACTCAGATTTTTTTTCCTTTTTTCCAAATTTCAAACCTTGTAGTACGTGCATCATTCTACTCACTTGGCTGGGCCTGTCTAGGTCCTTTCCTTGTTTGACAAGAAGGGAATCCAGAACCCAGTACAAGGTCACTCCTGGATTTCTAGCTAGGTAACTAAGGATGAGATGAGTTAGAAGATTAGTGAAACTTGGTGGACTATTTCTGATGGAAGACAGATGGTGAGGCTAGCTAACTTTTCTACAAGTAACAGAGAACTTCAAGCATTAATAGCACATTAATGTGAATATATTCACCTTACTTGAGAGAATGCACATTTTCTTTTTTATATCAATTCCAATTATGGGCATGTAAAGAATGAGAAAGATATGTAGGAAATGTAAGTAAAATATAAATTTATTCTTTTTCTTGGGGGGGTTGGTTTTTCGAGACAGGGTTTCTCCGTGTAGCCTTGGCTGTCCTGGAATTCACTTATAGACCGACCAGGCTGTCCTGGAACTCACAGAGATCCACTTCTGTCTGTCTCCTGAGTGCTGGGATTAAAGGCGTGCGCCACCATTGCCTGACGTAAATTTATTCTTAATGCATGCTCTTTCCTCCTCAATGCTTTGGACATGGTTGGAGATATATAAAACACCGAGGAGAACTAAAATAGGAGTTTTGAAAAGTCTCTTGTCTGGTGTGGTAGCACCTGCCAGTAGTGCTAGGTTTTAAGGGCAGAGAGATCATAGGTACACAATTCTACAACAAGATTCTACAGTAAGATTCACAATAGTGAAACTTATCTCTTCAGCAGCCTTGGTTCTTTCATGGCATCTGTTGTCAGTACTGACATACAGTGGTAAAACATGTACTCCTGGATGGTATCATTGCTTAAGGAATTGAAGTTGGGAAAAGAAAAATATTTTACTAATGCATGCATTATCAGAACTTTATCTTCTTCAGGATTTAGGAATTTTGACCAGTTATATTTTATATTAAAACTTTCAGTAAGATTTCACAATAGATTCTTTTCTTTATACAGTGTCTAGCTACTGTGGAATTTTTAAAGACCTAAATACTGAAGCAAATGATCCATACTTTATGGTTTGATTTTTCTGTTCAAAAGATACTGTCAAATTATTTGCCTTGGATTAAATGAAAGAAAATCTGACCGTTTCAAACTACAGCAATTTAATCTGTGATGACGATCTTGTCAGTGGGAAACTTAAGAGGTTCTGATTTCCCAGTTTACAAAATGAATTAGTTCCTAGTTCCTTATTTGAAAAGCTTTCCTGGAGCTGTTATTCACGAAGGCATTGTTTGCCTACAGTCTTGGTGTTTTGGTGCCATCTTGTGGCTGGGATTTGTCACAACCTCAATGCTCGAATCTGATTTAAAGAGGGATGCAGTTCATGATATGTAGGGAATTCTTTCCAAAAGCAGGTTATCTGCTAAAAAAAATAAGCATACACACAAAACAATTGAGTGGCTTATTTGTCATTTGGTAACACTGACAGGTGGAAATGGTGAGTTAAAGATCTTCTGTGTGACTCTGTGTATCTGAAAGCCTGTGTTTTGCTGTGTCCTCAGTTGCTGCTGTTTGAACGAACTTGGATGAACAGATGGAAATCCTCTGTCCTGCACGAAGGGGAAGGGAACATAAGGAGCGTGAAATGGAGAGGCCATCTGATTGCTTGGGCCAATAATATGGTAACGGCACATGTGTGTCTCTCTAACACTTGTGCAGTGGCAGAAGGGTGGTCAGATCGAAAGGTCTGGGACAGAGAAAATGATTAACACATGACATGATGTGGGGGGTGGGGGGAACCATTCTAATAGACATGAGTGACACTGATACCACACCTCCGAGCTTCAGGAAGGCAGTCACTTTGGGTTTTTATAGTACAGTAATTCCCAACACATTGTAGGCTATGCTCCAGAGTAAGATTCCTAAAGTACAGAGTAGCCAAGAGAATGGAAAGCTATTTTAATAATTGAAGGGCTACTTCAGGAATGAGCTCTGGAACGGCCATTTACCTGTTGCCATGGGCCACTGATAGAAGCAAGTACAGACTATTTTTGATTTCTCTTTTACTTCCAGTATAATCATAGGCAGAAACATGGCCTGCCATTGAAAAAGTGAATTGTACTATCAGTATCGCACTTATTTAAAGTTTATTTAATATAAAGTAAGGCCTAGGAAAGTTTAAAAAATAATCTTTCTTTATATCTATCATATTTTCTGAAATTTCAGAGCATAGTTGAGAAAATCAGTCTATTCAGTTAGAAATGGTAGAAACCTTCTCAGTTTAACCCTACTGTTTGGGGTTTTCCTTCCTTTTCTTGGTTCCCAAAGAAAGTAAATGGCTGTGGTCTTGGGGCTCATTTTTAGCTGGCAGTATGCTTGATGTTTCCATTTGAGCACTTTGAATTGTCACATGTGGTTTTCTTTGAATGGATAGGTTTTCAGAACCAACAGTTTTCTGAAAGAAAAACAAAACAAAACAACAACAAAAAACAAACAAACAAAAAACCCAACTCATTCCTGTGCAGAAAGTTCCATTAGAAATGTCTATCGATTCCTAAAGCCTTCATCCAATAGCTGTTCTAAGCAGAGACAGGCACCCACAGCTAAGCACTGAATCCAGTTGTGGAGAGGGGGGAGGGATGAACAAAGGAGCCAAGATGGTGCTAGAGAAACCTGCAGAAACAGTTGACCTGACCTACTGAGAGCATGGAGACCCTAGTCATAAAGCCGGGGAAACAGCATTAGACAAAACTAGGCCCTGTGAATGTGGTACAAGCTAGGAGGCCAAGGCAGTCTATGGAACCTCTAACAGTGGAGCCAGTCTTTAATCCTAGAACACAAATGGACTGTGGGAGCCCATTCCCTATGGAGGGATACTATTGCAGCCTAGATACAACAAGGGGGGCCTAGGCCCTCCCCGGAATGATATGATGGACTTTGAAGGTCTCCTGCAGAGGGCCTCACTATTGCTGGGGAGGAGTTGGGGGATGGTTGGGGGGTTGGTGGAGAACATGGGGGGGTGGGAGGGTGAGGGAATTGGGGGGATGGATATGTAAATATGAGTAGTAATTAAAGAATTTTTAAAAAGAGAAATGCCTATTGACTGTCAAGTTGCAAGCAAACTTGGTGTATCTGTGCAGTGCGTATTTGTGTTGGATTTACATCACCCATGCTATTCACTAATAACACAGCCTCTGTCCAAAAAGAAGTGTGGAGGTTGCCTTGCAGGTTTGGTTCTCATAGGGTTTGTATAAAGCAAGACCATGCCTTTGTGTGGCTCTTTGGCATGCTCAGTAAATTCCATCATTTTTTTTTTTTGATATAACACACCTATTGATACTTTCCTTCCAGAATGCAGGATGCTTAACATTGTTTTGTTTTACAGGGTGTGAAGATTTTTGACATCACCTCAAAGCAAAGAATCACCAATGTTCCCCGAGATGATATAAGTCTTCGGCCTGATATGTATCCCTGCAGCCTCTGCTGGAAGGATACTGTGACACTCATTATTGGCTGGGGAACTTCCATCAAGGTAGTTTACCTGCTCTTTATATTAAACCCAAACATTATAGATTCATTGAGAGTGCTCTAAAGCAGTATGTATTCATGAATGGTTTCTGGGAAACCTAATATTTTCACCTGAATGCTGTAGTGATAGGACAGTTTATTTCACAAGTACAAATCTTAAGATGTACTCTTTCTTTTCTATGGCATGCAAAGTAATTGCTCCTTTCTGTTCTCAGGATGATGTTATAACTGTTGAATTCTGTTGTAATTTTCCACATCCTGCAATCCCATAGCAGTTTATGGAACACATGATTGGTTTTGGTGGTTTAGTTAGGTGCTTATCTTCATATTATCCTTCCTTTGTCTTTAGCTATGACCATTTATTTCACTTGGGTTACTGATGGTAATGAGATAAAATTAAAACTAAATCATCCTGCATGTTTCATAATTTAATGAGGTAGAGACCCTGGCTTATTATATGTAATTTGATTAGATAACATTTAACACACCCATATGTGCCTCGGTAAAGTCAAGCTGCTCTTTAGAAGGAGCCCAGACCCCAGTTGCTTTTATTTCATGCTTACCGGTGCTTCTGCTAGAGTAGGTACTTGAATCTCAGAAGTTATTCCTTCCCTTTAAAGGTGCAACACAGAATTTAAAAACTAAACTGAGATTTAGCTGAAGGACAAAAAGTCATGAGAAAGTATCTCAGCAACAGTTTAATATTTAGAGTCAGACAGACTTGAGATTGATCCCTTCTTTCCACTTGCTTCTTAGATGTATGTGGGAGGGCACAGAGCTTGGCATGTTGTAATAGCTTATAAATGTTACCTATTAAAACAAGAAGCCTATAAGGAAAATGGAGACATGAGTAAAAAGGAAAAGTGTGACAGTGGCTGATGTGGTGCCTTGCTGCCTAATCCAGCACTGTGACCTCTATGCCATGTTCTTCCTGTTCTCACAGTGCTGTGATTCAGGTGCTCTTCTTTTTAGATTGGACTTGAAGCACTTATTTATATGAAAAATATATGATTAAATTTAGAGAGGAAAGATTGCCCCGAGTTGTCCATCTGGTTCTAAGTGCAGTCCCATTGTCTTAGTTATTTTTCTATTGCTGTGACAAAGCACCATCACCAAGGCAACTTAAAAAGAAAAGCATTTAATTGGGCTTATGTTTTCAGAGAGTTAAGAATCCAGTGTGGCAGCATGACAGCAAGCAACAGACATGTGCCTGGGGCAGCCAAGAACCCACATCATCATCCACTAGTAGGAGGTAGAAAGAAGGGACACGGGGAATGATTCAAGCCTTTTAAAACCTAGCACCTACTCCTTCAACAAGCCACCTCTCCTAGTCCTTTCCAAATAGTTCTACTAACTGGAGACCAAATATTCAAACACTTGAGCCTAGGGGGTCGTCCTTCAAGCCACCACATTATGTTCGCTGGCCCTTTAGACTCATGACCATATTACAATGCAAAATGCATTTAGTCCAATTTCAAAAGTCCTCATAGTCTTTCAGTATCAAAAGTATTTAAAATTCTAGAGTTCTAAGCCCCTTCTTTCAAGGCAGTCTCTTAATTGGAAATCCCTGTAAAATCAAAAAGTAATCACATACTTATATAAGGGCACAGAATATATGTTACTATTCCAAAAGAGAGGAATAAGGTTTAGTAAGAAAATAGTGAACCAAGTAAGACCACGACCTAATAGAACCAACTCTGAGTCCTTTCTTTAGTGCCATGTCCAATGTCTGAGGGCTTAGATGGCTCTGTCCTTCCAGCTTTACTGCTGGCAACACACTTCTCTCTCTTGGACTAGTTTCACTCCGTATGTGCAACTGTACTTGGCAGATATCCTTTGGCTATGGCATCTCCAACATTTTGGCTTCTCCAATGCAATCCAGGCTTCACTTTCATAGCTTCACAAAATGGCCTCTTGACATCTTAGGGCCTTCACCTAGGGACTGCTTTGCCACACATTCCCTGATCTCAGCAACTCTCTTTAACCGTGAAGGAAGATTTCACAACTCCTTTACTAGTGTATCCTTCATGACTCTAAAGCCAGAACCACTTGAAAACACTTCCAGGTTTGGCTGATGGCTTGGACTGGAGCCTGGCCATTAACAATTGAAGAAATCTTCCTTTGTTGTTTCTTTTTAGAAACAGAAAATTTCTTTACTCTGTTTACTTTTATAGGTTGGAAGCTTAGCCTAAGGGCATTTTGGCTTGGCCACTCCTTCATCTTCTCATCTTCTTTAGCATATTCCTTGGATCCAATATTAAATTTTCTGGTGCTATTTTTTCTCTTTAAACCATACATTTTATATTTATTTTTGCCCTGCTTGTTCTTTTTCATGGTACACCTAAGAGTGATTACTAATAACCATGTGATAGAATCAATGTTATGTTGCCTTGAAGTCTGTTCTGCCAGTGAAATTAGTCCATTACTTTTCAATTTTGCCTCATACAAATTCTTGGGACAAGGACAGAAAGCAACTCATTCTTTGCCAAACTTATCACAAGAATAGTCTCTATTCACATTTTGACCCACAAATGTGTGACAGAGAAAGGACACACTGGGAATGGTGCATGCAAGTCTTTTGAAACTTCAAAGCCCACCCCTAGCAACAGACTTCTTTCAACAGGGCCACACCTTCTAATCCTTCTCAAACAGTTCACAGACTAGGACCAAAGCATCCAAACACATGAGCCTGGGGGACCATTCTCATTCATACTAACCCTGCCAGAGATCCCGGTGAGGGAGATGGAGAAGGAAGGGCTATTATGCAAGAGAACAGTGTGCTGCTTTTGGAGTAGAGCAAGCTGACCAGGCTAAGGTTCTCCCTCAGAACCTTTAAGGAAGTACTGCCTTGCCCACACCACATGTCATCTGATTAGTGAAACTGATTAGATTTGTAGGTATAGACCTATAAGTGATTGTATTTCTGTGTAAAACTGTCAGACTTTCAGTTATATGTTAGAACAGTCATAGATAATGAATAAATATTCTCTATGCTTAAATAACAACCTACAAATATGTCAAGTATGTTATTTTATTAGGAATTTTTTTTTTCTTCAGACTAAGTCATATTTTGACCATTTCTCAGTTCAAAGTCTTCGGTGAGCAACCATGATTGACAGAAACTACTAGAAATAGCATAATAAAGCATGTAGTTAGAGATACTTAGGCAGTGGTTGTTGCAGATACAATAGGCAAGTTAGTTCATTCTTTGGACAGTTTCTGTTCTGGTAAGAAAGATAGACAGAAATCAAAGAGCAAGTGAACACATGTTGATGATGATAAATAGCAAGAAGGACATATTTATGATATATATATATATATATCATAAAGGTGAAAGGGGCTCTGAAAGCGATTATGTTATTAGTGTAGAGCCCTGAGAGGAAAAAGTTATGCAGCTCTGAGGAAGTGCTGAGATGAAGCAGCTAGAAGCCATTGTCAAAGAGTGGAGCGGGGATGGAGAAGAGGGTTGCCGTAGACAGTGGGAGAGAGGACTGTGGGAGTGGATGACAGAGTGGTTAGTACCCTGGCTCATGGGTGCCTGGAAAGTCTCTGGCCTATCCTTGAGTGAGGTGGGAAGCCAATAGAGGATGCTGCTGTAGAGTTAGTTAAATGACCAAACTTGTGTTGTAGAAGGATGACTGTGGTTGTGCAGAGCTATGCAGCAAAGGCATGGTGGAGAGGGAAGAACAGACAGGAGGCCACTGCAGTTAAATGGTAACAACGCCTTTTTGTACCTGTGTTGTGGAGCTGGTAAGAAAGACTGGACTATGGGTGTATTCTTAAAGTGGACCCTGCAGTATTTAGTGATGACTGAACTAGGGGGTGTAAGAAAAAGAGAAAAAGTCAGTGTTACCTAAGGAACTAGAAGTAAACTTTACTGCTCATGGAATTTGCTTACAGGAAAAAGATGCCCATGTGGGATGTGGAGGAGACAGTTAAAAGAAGCAGATTGGTGCTCATGGGTAAAAGGTTGCCTGTAAAGGAAAAGGGTCTTCAAATCATGATGTGCTCTAGTGCAGGCCACATGCTCACTGGTGCATTTGCCTGTGCACCCTCCAAACCAGCTGCTTCGCACCACAGAGCTGAGGAGCAGTGGGATAGAGTGGTCCAGCAGCTGGGGAATGGTGCCATGATTCTTGTCTCCAGAGAGACTTGTGCATTGACCAGGGATATGCATTAGCCCTTTAACTCCAGCCCTGTGATTTTGAGTAACTTTCAAAGCCTCAGGTTTCTCATCTTAGATTAAACGTGGTGGCTTTGCCTTTCATGGATATCTGTGGGTCAGAAAGTCCAGTCAGTCCACAAGTTGAATCAACAGCCCTCAAGTCTCTCCACTTCTTTTCACTTTCCTGTGAAGTCTCTCTGGTTCTGGTTTCGCCTTTTAACTCTGTCCTCCACAGAGCAGTTAGAAGAGTGTATACAGAATGAGGGTCAGAGGACCGTCTATTCTGTAAAGCCATTGATTAAGACATGTTCAATATCATATGGGTACTTACCTTCTATGTGACTTCCTAGGTTGTGCACGAACCACTTTGTTCTTTTTCTGGGCTCAACTCTGCCCCTATGTTTTCAGTTTCTGTTTGACCTTCCAGCTGAAGGCCTAGACTCTTCATTTTGTCCTGCATACCCGTTCTGCCTCTCTTGGTTCCTTTTACATATCCCTTCTTCCTGAAAGACATCTTGCTTGTAGTGTGTGTCTCTACTTCCCAACGATACTTTGGTCAAGTGCCTTATTGCATGTCTCCCTGCTGCACTATCATTTTAACAAAATTACTCTTAACTCGGGATTGGTGTTCAGTCATTGCTCAGAAAGTGCTACCTAATATAGACATTATATTTTCTTTATTGCTGTACTCCAAACCATCTCCTTGGCCACTTTTATCTATCAACACATCAAAATGACCATCCATTTGGCATTGTGATATGTTCCCCTTATCTAGATGATTTAATAGTTTCCTTAGTAAGTATTGGGGTGAGAGGGAGTAGGTCTCTTATAAACTCAGAAGTCTACCAGAAAGAGAAGGAAACTGGGGGAAACGGACAGGAGACAAATGTCAAAAAGTAATTAAGGAGAAAAGCAGCCATCACATATTTGTGGACCCTCACATGTCTGCAACCATGGCTTTTTGTCCTACATTAGGGAAGCATTCTCTGAGGCCTTCACCAAATTGCTGCAGTGCTGGGGACCAATTTAGACATGTGTATTAAAAAAGGAACAGACCAAAAAATATAAGGCATTTCTAGCCATTGATCTGGCAGCTTTATATCTAGTAATTTATCGTAAGTAAAGTCTTTAACATTTTATACTTAAGTATATTGAGCATGCTATTATTGTTTATAATACTTATGAAAGAAGTAAAAACAATGGGAAAGTTGATCAAATAAGTTATACTAATTTCTTTTGCTATGTTATAATGACAACACAGATTTATATGATAGAAGAATATTTGAATGATACCTTACTATTTATAGTAAGCCTTTACATGAATTGCAGTAACTCTACAGTAGACAATTACTAAACATGTTGTCCTTGGGCTGACACTTTGTTCATGCTTGTTTTGCACTTGTTTGTCTACTGTAAAAACTAGATTTACAATGTCCCATAGTATAGTGAAACTTAGGCTAGTGACTATAAAATATCACTGTCTATAAGTGAAAGAAGAATCCCCATCACTAAATTATGGGATTGATTCCTAACTTCTAATTTGATTTTATAGAGGGCCAAACCTCTAAAAATGTTTGTTTCTTATAACAAAGTTAAATGTATTCACTTTGGAAAGTACATTCATTTAGAAAGAGGTAAGAAAGCATCCATAGTCTTACCAACCTAAAAAGAAATTAGCAAACAATGTATGTTATCTGGTGTTTGTGTGGGAGTTGGGGGAGTGAGAGATTAAGGACAGATATATATATATATATATATATATATATATATATATATATATATATATATTCATAAACACACACAGACACATTCACATACACACACCAACAAGTGTCCTTTTTGGAACCCCTTTTTCTATAGACAAATTACACACACCCACACACATACAAGCAGCTGTCAAGACCACCTATATAATTATAAACACACACACACACACACACACACACACACACACACACACACACAAACACATACACTCTCTCTCTCTCTCTCTCTCTCTCTCTCTCTCTCTCTCTCCTTTGTTTTTTGTTTTGTTTTTCCAAGACAGGGTTTCTCTGTATTGCTTTGGAGGTTGTCCTGGAACTCGCTCTGTAGACCAGGCTGGCCTCGAACTCACAGAGATCCGCCTGCCTCTGCCTCCAAGTTATAGGCGTGTGCCACCAATGCCCATCTAGTCTCTTAATTATTAGTCCATTTCTGTTATTCTGTGTATCTCCACATGGTCTTGGCTTACGGGAGATTCCCAAGCCTCTTGCTTTCTCAGAAGCTGCATGGAATCTCCTTTGAGACCCATTCTCTGTGTTCCTCCTCCCAGAATTCTCCTAGTCTGGTGGGTACTTTCTGCCTGGTACTACATCCTGCCTGTTCCTTGGCCAAAGTAGCTTTATTTATCAACCAATAAGAGAAACATTCATAGCATACAGAAGGACATCCCCCATTATTACTGGTTTTAAAAAATACATATTTCTATCTCAACTTTACATGTATAAATTAAAACAAAGACAAACTTTTTTTTTGAGAAAGTGCTAATAGTAGAAATGGTAGACTTTATAGGCCACATACTTGCTTCTCTTTTTATCTGTCTTCCTCCACACAGTAGGAAACTACTCTTAACTTCCAGGCTATACACATGATGATAATAGGGTGTATGTAGACAGCAGGCTCTGTAGGTCAGCCATAGTGTGTCTGTTCTATCAAAAATACCTCCTGTATGAGTATGCAGCCCTCAAGTAGAACTTCAGAGAAGCCAGTAGAAACGGCAAACTTATATTAACATGCTCTTTCTTTGCCATAGAGTGTAACTTTATTGGACTAATGTTTTCAAACTAGTTGCTTAATTTATTTTTTCCTTTATGTGTATGGGTGCCTTGCCTGCATATATGTCTGGGCGTCTCATGCATGCAGTGCCCACAGAGGCCAGAAGAGGGCATTGGATCCTTTGGAACTGAAGTTACAGAAGTTTATGTGTGAGTCACCATGTCAGTGCTAGAACTGAAACCAGGTCCTCTGAAAGAGCAGCCAGTGCTCATAACTGCTGAGCCATCTCTCCAGCCTCCCAAATTGATTTCTGTCTTTTACATCTTAGAGAAGATTATACAGATGCTGTCGTTGGCTGACATGATTATCTTAAAAAAAATCCACACTGAGTAAAATGCTGTAGTGAATTTCTTATCAAAGCTAGAAAGTAACCTATGAATTTCTTTTCCAGATATGTTCAGTGAAGGAACGTCACGCCAGTGAGATGAGAGATCTGCCAAATCGATATGTTGAAATAGGTATGGGACCCCCTTGTCTTCTGTGATAGTAACACCTGGTTGTCAAGTGATACTCAAAGGCCACTTCCTCCACTAGAGCTTATCTCTTGGTACTTTGATAAAATGGATCCAGAAAGCCTTCAAGTTTTGGAGTCTCACCATGAAAAGCTCCTCCCCCTCCCCCTTTTTTTCCCAAAGAAGCAAAAATTTATATTTCTTATAATAATTTTATAGTTGCCTTTGAAGGCAGATAATCATGTATTTGGTCCCTAGTTATAATATTTGCCATTTGGACCACAGATAGATTTCTGCTGTTGCAACATTTTTATGTCTTATTCCTCTAGCTAGAACTTTCAGTACTGTATTGAATAGATATGGAAAGAGTGGCCAGCCTTGTCTTGTTCCTGATTTTAGTGACACTCCTCCACTGCTGGTGGAGTGCAAACTTGTACAGCCACTTTGGAAATCAGTAGGCGATTTCTCAGCAAATTGGGAATCAATCTACCTCAAGACTCAGCAATACTACTCTTGGGCATATACCCAAAGGATGCACTCTCATACCACAAGGACACTTGCTCAGCAATGTTCATAGCAGCCTTATTTGTAATAGCTAGAACCTACAAACAACCTAGATGCCCCTTAACCAAAGAATGGATAAAGAAAATGTGGTGCATTTACACAGTGGAGTACTACTCAGTGCTAAAAGATAATGATATCTTGAAATTTTCAGTTAAATGGAACTAGAAGCAAACCATCCCTAGTGAGGTAACCCAGACCGAGAAAGACAAACACAGTATGTACTCACTCATAAATGGATATTAGGCATAAAGCAAAGGATAACCAGGCTACAATTTACAACCTCAAAGAAGCTAGGTAAAAAGGAGGACCCTAAGAGTAACACACATGGAGGGCCCCAAGAAAGGGAAATAGTTAAGATCTCCTGGGTAAAGTATGAAGAGGAGTAGAAAGGGGGATGGGGGATGGGAACATGAAGGCTGGAGATGGCCAAGTTGGGGGAGGGGTGGAGAGGGGGAGCAGTGAAAGAGACGTCTTGATAGAGGGAGCCATTATGGGGTTAGGGAGAAACCAGGTGCTAGGGAAATTCCCAGGAATCCACAAGGATGACCCCAGCTAAGACTCCTATCAGTAGTGGAGAGGGTGCCTGAACTGGCCTTCCCCTATAATCAGATTAGTGACTACCTTAATTGCCATAATAGAACCTACATCCAGTAACTGATGGAAGCAGATACAGTGATCCACAGCCCAGCACTGGGCTGAGCTCCTGGAGTTCGATTGAAGAGAGGGAGGAGGGATCATATGAGCAAGAGGGGTCAAGATCATGATTGGGAAAACCACAGATACAGCTGACCCGAGCTAATGGGAGCTCACAGACTCTGGACTGACAGCTGGGGAACCTGCATGGGACCAAAGCCTTCCGAACGTGGGGTAACAGTTATGGGACTTGGTCTGTTAGGGAGGGGGGCTGGCAGTGGGACCAGTACTTATCCTGGGTACATGAATGGGGTTTTGGAGCCCATTCCCTATGGTGGGATACCTTGCTCAGCCTTAATACAAGGTGGAGAGGCTTATACTATACTTTGTTGAGTCCCCAAGGGAGACCTTACCCTCTCAGAGGAGTAGGTGGGGGTGGGATGAGGGGAGGTAGGGGCAAGAAGAAAGGGAGGGAGAGGAACTGGGGTTAGTATGTAAAATTGAAAAAAAAATAAATGAAAAATTGTCTTGCAAATAAAAGGCTGGCATTGCCTACCTCCCATCTCTCTCTCTTCGGCCACTCTTGTCCCCAGGGACTGGTCTCTGAGCCTCCCTCTCTGCCTCCTTCTCTGCCCCTTCTCTCTCCTCTTCCAATAAACTTCCCATGTGAGCCCTTTTGTATGGCATGACCTCCCTTCCCACCAATTTTTAAAATATAACATTGCTTTATCCCTGAATAGTGAGCCATTCTCCTTCATTGGCATGACAATGACATTGACATTTAAAAAAAAAAATCTGTGAGAGTGAATTTGTCAGAAGCCAGATGTTTATAAGTCACAATCACAAAGGCAAGCAAAAGTTTCTTCTCCAGTTATTATTTCTTATAAATGAAAAACAATAATGATAAAAAAATAAGGCTTCTGCCCAGTTACTGCCATGAAGAGCTTCACGTGGTGCAGAGGACTTTTGATGCCCTGTCTCTTCTAGGTTATGTTGCTAAAAGTTAAGCTCTATGCCTACACTGCTCACTTCAACTTGGTTCTCCTTTATGCTCTCAAGATTCCCTAGCATCAGAGTCTTTATGGAGTGGCAGTTGGAGAGATCATGCTTCTTCGATTAGTGACATTTTAATCATCTTCTGATGTCTACTGCCAGCAACAGATGACTTACATGCAAGAAATTAGTCCCTGACTTCCTTGTCTTGATTGCATATGGAAAGTTAACAAGACAGTTGAGATACTCATCTACATGAAGATCTACACAGGCTGTCAGAAACCCGGGATAAAGAGGAAGAGAAGAGAATCCACATTACTCTCCCTTTAATAATACACCACCATTGTTTGCAGCTGGTCATGCATTGTGGACGTAAAACTTAGCATGTCATCATGCTTTCAGCTTTGTGATTGATTTGGAACTCAGCGACCTGGAATGGAAGCTCTGCTTACATGGTTAAAAGAGCTGTGGGATAATTCTTAGATCTAGGTGACTCTCTTCATATGCTTGCCATCGTTTTAATTTTGATATCCAGATTATAGTAGTGAGATAGTTCTCTTTGCACACAGGTGACTTAGTTTCTCCTCCTAGTAAAAGTCTCAGAGGAGACCACGTCAGGTGGAAGTATCTTACCATGTGTTTGTAGTTGAGAATTTGGCTTTTGTATAGTTTTCTGTTCAACTTACTGTTTTTATGTTCAGTTTACCTTCCTGTCTTGCATTGGATTTTTCCCTAGTACTTCATTATGAAATGAATTTAATATGAAAAAGCAGTTAGCGGTGAACAGCATAACACTATGTGTGACTACATTAGCTCTGTTAGGAATTGTTTTTATCCTTGGTATGATAGACTTACATATGGTGTTATGAATTAGGATATTTGTTGTTAATAGTGGGATCATAGAAAACCTGAAGCATGAGGCTGGGAAAATAGCCAAGTTGGCAAGATACTTGCTGTGTAAGCAGAAATATCTGAATTGACATCACCAGAACTCATGTAGAAATGTGGACTGGGCCATGTCATGCCATAGCCCTGGTGGTATCAGGGATAGAAGCAGGAGGATGTCTGGGGTTTGCTGGCTGCTAGCCTAACTCTAGGGTTACTGAGAGACTCTGTCTCAGGAACATAAGGCAGAAAGTGGTGAAGCCAAAACTGAACATACACATACACACACACACACACACACACACACACACACACACACACCACCTGCAATAACATATTTTGTTTCTTTCATAACAGTAGCCACTAGGCAGAATGCTAAATACATCACAAATAGAATGTTATTCAATGTACAGTATTCCATGGGTAGGTGGTAGTATTTCCATTTTATATATAAATATGTTGAGCAGAGGGGCCTATGTAACCTACTCAAGACTGTCCTATTCCTCAGCAAAAGCACTTTAACTCAGGCATTCCTGTTGGCAGTCATTCTGTAGCCAGATGTAGCTCCCACCTGTAATCCCAACACTTAGAGCCTAAGACAGGAAGACTGACACAAGTTTGAGGTCACCCTGGGTTTTCCTAGTGAACTCAAGGCCAGCCTGACTACACAGTAAGGCACTGTCTCAAAAACATAAAGCAGATAAGGAACAGCAGAAGGAACCAGAATCTCATATGGAAAAGCGGTGCTCCCAATATTGCCTCCTTGGCCTTCTGTAGCCCTACTTCACAGCCAAAGGGACCTGGGGAAGGACCACCTAGTTCTGACATGTAGGTCCAAACCACTGGGTAGGAATTTCTCAGCATGCACAGACCCCTGCACAGGTCAGTGGCAATGCTATGTATCTATTCCCTGAACAACTGAATGTGATGGAAATGTAGGAAGTTTTTGGTTCAGAGAAGTAGCTCACTTAGAGAAATGGAAATTGTATGTATGTATGTTTATTCTTAGATCAGCAACCTACCATTGTGCATTCTTGGTGTTAGGGCATTTCTACAGCATACCTGCCTTGAGTAGTCTGCAGAGTTATTTCGAAGGACTGGGAGCCAGGGCAGACTGTGACTCTGTCCTCCTTTTCAGAAGGTGGAGAGCCCCTGTTATTTAGTACTTGATTTGAGTTTGGCTGATGCACTGAGGTAATTTTATACTCAGAACACGAAGAATAACCATTTAGTTAAGAGATTTTTACCTACCATGCCTTGACCATTCCTCTTCCTTTTATCTAAGCTTGAATGCTGTCACTAATAAAATGTCCTCATCACTGGCTTCATCGGGGGGCTGAAGTTTAATACATGAAAGATTAATGTAACAGATAGCAATTAGAGAATAGAAAATTAAATTGAAACCCAAGTTGCCTTAAATGGTTTCTGACCTGTGTATACTATTGGCTGTTTGCTTGAATGTTTTTATTTTGTGTGTTAGCTAGTCTCTTTAATTTTCACGCCATGTATCAGGTCTATATTTGCTGATATGAAGCATCATGCCACTTTTTACTTCATTGTGTCTGCTTTAAAGTAATTCCTGAGGCTATTGAAATGTTGATTACAAAAGCATGCCAACTGAGTATCCAGACTTACTGAAAACTCTGCATATGGTTGTTCCTGCTTTTGCTTGCTGGCTAAGGGAAGGAGTCCCTTGCCACAAGACTGCCTGAAAGGGTCTAGAATGGAATGTGAGAAGTTGTAGATAACTGCTCTTCCTTATAAATTGGCATTTGTGGAGGGCAAAGGGATAAAGAGGGACCAGTGTAGCTTCTGTGCCCTTCAGTGTGTTTGACCTTAAAGCATCACAGAAAATTCTAGAGAAGGGCAGGGCACTCTGATCACAAAATCCCAAGTCTTCAACTGTTGTTCTTGGTATACATTTAGCTTATAGTTCTCTGTGTTCCCACATACATTGTTCAGTGTGCCATCTGTCTACCTTGGAAAAGGCAGGCATCAAATTCTGACATTTGCTTTCCTCTGAAGACACTTTAGTGCACTTGCTGACCTTCAGTGGGTTTCAGTACACCGATTCTTACAGCATGTCTACAGACGCTGCTTCCTTAGGACACTAGAGTGTGGAGGCCTTCGAAACTGTGTCAGGATGCGGAGACCATGCCACAGCTGCAGTTCCCACCAGAACTGGTGTTCTTCAGCAAAACACTGTCTGTGGAAACACAGAACCCTGCCTCAGGACCCCAGAACCTTCTCTTCACTTTCTAGATGGCCTTGATCTCCAGTGTAGGTTCTGTCTTCTGTGACTCCTAGAAACTAGTTTTCTCTCAGCCTTTGGTTTCTCTTTTGTGCTCTGTATAACCCAACAGTTTGTTTTTTGTTTCTTTGAGATTTATCTTTTCCCAATAATCCATTTAAATGTGAGCTTCTGTCTAATTAGTTTTGTTAATCTACCTGTTTCAAACTTGTTTTCCCTTAGGAAACACAAGACTTATTAAATTATTAAAATCTTCATTGTTCTATAATATAGAATGGAATATCAGGAAAGGAAAACTTCATTGGCCACTGTTATTTTGAAATGTAAAGCCTATAATTGCTATAAAATATTTTGCAAAGCTAGTCAATAAATAGTTTCTATTTTATGTATGTTGCTTTGAAGAATAAACACAATAATTCAACATTTCTTCATTTATGTCAGTAGAAATAATTTTTATTCCTTGAACATACATTTATTCTGGTGCCATGGTTTCTAGCCATCCCTTCTTTATCATAGCATTAATATGAAAAATAAATAGTACTTTTTAGATCTGCAAACACTCTTGTTGCCTTAAGGAGAATAAAGGAAAAGCAAGGTTCTGTCTGTGATGTTTTAAGGCACAGTAGCTGCAGGCAACTTCACACACTAACAACTCAGATTAGAACTGAGGGCTTTTTGTTCTTTATTTTTGACATCTCTCTATTCATGTGTATTAAGGGAGAGGATTTACTGGATGGCACAGTAGCCACAGCTAAGGTAACAACAGTTAGAACTCTATTGTGGGCCATACTGAGTGTTGCTATCATTGCAGTTTGTTTCTCTAAGAAGGGTATGGGTGGTGAAAGGGAATGATTCAACACAAAGAATGTTTTGTTTTATCTAGGTGTTGATAACTCCTGGATTTCTGAAGTCTTGACTATTAGTTTTAGTAGCATATTTCTTCCTTATTATTCTGTCAAAGTGATCATCATATACAGTTGTCCGTCTGATAGTTTAGTGTCTATAACTATACATTTACTACCTGAATCTCAAATGCATTTCTGCAGTCTTCTCTTGTTTTTTCAAGAACACATTACTGTTTCTATCTATGTTCTTAAAGGCCATGAAATCTCTATGTTATTTATGTAAGCATTGTAGACTAAGGAAATCAGGATGTGGAGTGAAGATTTGCACAGGATGCTGTCCTAATTTCTCTGTTCTGTATTAATAAGTCATTTTTTAAAAAAAAAACAGGCCTTGATGTAAATTTAGGTACCATTCCGAGACATTGCCTCATACTACCTTTCAGTTAGTCTGGGCAGGCCATGTGATCTCCAGAGAGGACAGTACCATGCCTCATTATCCACCACTCCTTTGTGCTTAGCTGCTGTTTTCCCTTGGGTGCACTCAGCACACAAGCACAAAGAGGCCTCCTCCTGGCCCTCATGAGAATGGTTTCTGTGGCATTTCTTGATTATCGTTCTTTGCCCAAACTGTTGACAAGGAAACTGTATAGTATCACTTCAGTGATGAAATATGATTTAGTAAGACAGAACTCAACTCCTTTTATGCCAGAATAGTTAGAATAATGATCACCAAACTCTATTGTTATTTTGCTTATGTCTAGGTGGATGAGATTGCCACCTTCTCCATAGATGATCCCAGTGTTGACCCATCTAGTTCATCTGCACACTGCCCTCTCTCATGCCCCCCCACACACATCCTGCACTTCAAGCATCTCTAGAGACCCCACCCTGTCTACACTGGGCATTCCCTTCTCCACACTGTGACTGAGGTGGACATGGCTCTTAAATAAGCTTATTTGTGACCATTGCTCATGTTACCTTGTTATCAAAGCTGTTTTTATGATACTCAGCTCAAGCTTACAAAATGGAAAGAAAATGTTAGTGACAGGGATAAGTCCTAAGCACCTGCCGTTGGCCTTGTATCAGGACATGTCCAGTTCTATCATCCAGTCAGTGACAAGGCATAAGACAAGGCACTATCCTCCATACCTTGGAATGGTGACACACCTGTGATCCAGCATTTAGGAGGTAGAGGCAGTAAGAGCAGAGTTCAAATCATTGTCAGCTGTGGAGCAAATTCAAAGCCGACCAAGGCAATATATGACCCTGTCTCCAAATCTTGCCTATTTTAAAGTTTATGTTTGTAATTTTTTTTTTTTTTTGGTTTTTCGAGACAGGGTTTCTCTGTGTAGCTTTGGAGCCTATCCTGGCACTCACTCTGGAGACCAGGCTGGCCTCGAACTCTGCCTCCCGAGTGCTGGGATTAAAGGCGTGCGCCACCAACGCCCGGCTATGTTAGTAATTTTTTCGTCAGCTGTTTTTAGTATAGAATTTAGAATATGAAGATGGTTCTAAAGATAAACATGGACTAGAAAATCAAGGAACTGTGGTGAACAAGGAAAGAGACAGGAGGAAGAAAAGTTCTTTGGCCCCTCATTCTGTCTATATTTTAGGGTCTATATTTTAGGTTTTATCTATTATTTCTTCTTCTCAAGTGAGAGAAGTTTACACATTGACTAAAGTAACTTGAAGTCCAGTTCAGCGAAAAGTTATGACCCAGATTTCCAAAGTACACAAGCATTTGGTATTGTTTTCAGCATGACAGACCAAGTTCTCCTAACTCAGGAAAAGAAAAGTATGTTCATCGTAGATATTTACTGGAAGTGCAGCAAATAGCCAGAACATTGGAGATAGTCTGAATTAAGAAACTCTGGGATAAGTCCAAATGAGAGTTCATGCATGTGTGAGCCCCACTGCAAAACTCAGTCTTTTTAAATGCTGCTGATTTCTAGTGTGCATCATGGAGTCATCAGAATCGGGCATAGGAGCATTTGTATTTTCCCTGTGGAATAAGTGCACTTACCCTTCCTCCCAGTACTGGGGATTAGACACACTCCCTCATGCATGTTAGACAAGCAGTCTACCACTGAGCAGTGTCCTTAGCCCTCTTCTTATGTTTTACCTTGAAACAAACTCAAAGATACCCGAACTGGCCTTGAATTCATGTTGTAACCACAACATTCTTGGAACTTGTGATCTTTTTTCTTCAGCCTGTAGAGAGTTGGAAATGGAGAGTGCCACCACCAGGCCTGGCTCTACTTTGTGTGTATGTGGTGGTTACTTTTGATTGTGTGAGAGTATCCACCTGTGTTGGAACCTGGGGAGCCAGGAGAGGGTGGCTTCCTCTGTCACTGCCATGTTGCCTTGAGATAGGGTCTCTAAAGAACAAGAAGCTATTATTTCAGTTAATCTGACTGGCCAGTGAGCTTTGGGGACTGTAGATGCAGGTGTCCATGCCTGACTTCTTATGTGGGTGCTGGGGATTCAGACTCCAGTCCTCATGCTTGCAGAGTCTTACACACTGAACCATCTCCTTAGTGTGCATACTTCTTAACGTATAATAATACTTTTTAAAGTACATTAATACTTCTTAATAATATTTATACTAATAATATTTCTTCTTAAATTTTAAGTACACTATTTTGGAAGTTTATTATTTTTCTCTGTATATAAGTTACAAAAGTAAGTATGCAAAGTTGTTTACATAGAATGTCTAAAGCCAAAAACAAAGTAATGTTTTATAGTAACGAAAGCATAACTTTAACTGTTTGTACCACTGCACTTCACCTTTAAGAAAGAAAAACCTAAACTAAGCCACTTGTTAAAATCAATGTTGTTATTAAGTATAGTTTTGTTATTAAAGATAGTTAATGTTAGGTTTCATTGTTTTAAAGAGTCTTCATGTGATGTACCAACATCATGAAGTTACCCGGCCCAATGGAGTCACACACTCGGGGTTCATTTTTGTCTTGATGTCAACTTTCAGTTTTACATGCTGCATGTCTTTCCTTGCATGGATCGTTGTAAAGCACTTCGAGTGCTATGCAGTGGAAATACTTTAACTTGAGACATACTACGGCACATATTTAGTGTAGTATCATAATTCAGCACATACACAATGTGTAATAATCACATCAGGGGATTGAGCATTTATTTCCATTTTAAACATTTTTAAATGCATTGTAGCATTCACAGTTGGTGTGTCTTTGCAGTCATGTGCACCTTTTTTGCTCCATTTAATGGTGAATCCTTTCTGCCTTTTGTTTGCAGTGTCTCAGTTTGAAACTGAATTCTACATTAGTGGACTTGCACCTCTCTGTGATCAGCTTGTTGTACTTTCCTACGTAAAGGAGGTTTCAGAAAAAACGGTAATTATCTTCTCCCCAGGTACAGAGGGATATAGAGGAGTTGGCTTTTAGCATCACACCCAGGTCAGGATGCCTGTCAGAGGAGATTGCTATAATCCAACCAGAACTTTTTGACCTATGAAATAAGCCCAGCAGAAATTACCCTGCAGACTAACATATTTACCTTCAGAAGTCACACTCATTGCCTGCCTTTTTCCCTTTGCTGCACAAAGAAATGAGCCCTTTATTCTTTTTGCTTCTTTTTTTTTCTTTTTCATCAGTCACTTGATATTTTAGTTGAAAGAAATAAAGGATCCCTCATGCTGAAAGACAAAGAAACTAAGCTGACATTGCATTAGCAGAGATGACAGCAATGAAGCTGGTCACTGCAACAACAGGGATTCAGTGGTCAGAGAGAATTACTGAAAGGGCAGCTTCTTCTTTTCTAGAGTCCAAACATATTTGTTTACCTCCCAGTGGCCTGATGATTCTAAGTAGCTCAATTCCTAGGATTGTTACTCACTCACTTGTCAGTGCAGATTATAGACATTGAAATGTGTTGCAAACAGAAAACAGCAGCTAAAACCAAATTTTGTTCTCATGACATTGGAATGAAGCTCTCAGCTGGGATTTAATGACACCCAGGCTCCCTCTAAAGCCCAGAACAGTGCCATTCCCAGCCTGCTTATTGTTAAGAGTTCAGGACCCTGCCTGGAATGGGAGAGGGGCAGCTTCAAGGCTTGAGCAAGGAGAGATTGTTGTAAAGGATTTCCTTTTGGGTGCTGTATATAAAAGAAATTGCAATTGATTCTCTAGCCCTTCACAGTAATCAGGCAGGTGGAGTGTACTCTCCCTGACGTACACACGTACACACACACACACACACACACACACTCTCTCTCTCTCTCTCTCTCTCTCTCTCTCTCTCTCTCTCTCTCAAATGGCAAGGAATAAAATGGGGCAGAAAAACCCAGGGAGCCCTTGTTGTGAAGTAGTGGCTGCACTTGAGCCTTTCTCTGAGAGAAAACTTGCATTAGGAAGCCATCACTATAGTAACTGAAGCTCTGGGTGCCCATGTTGCTAGGCAATGAAATGCTGTAGACTTAAGTGAACCCACAAACCTCCTAAAATCAATAGGGTTGGCTTCTAGCCCTATTGCAGGACATCAGTTTATTATTATTTTATTTATTTTTTGAAAATACAGAAAAGCAGAGGCTCCTGGGGGAGTAAGAACAGTGCTTTTTGATGAGGAATGTGGGGCAGATTGAGGATGTGATTGAACAAAACAAGGGAAGAAGCAATAAAATTGGAAAAGGGAAAGGCTAATAAACTGATCAAAAAAAGTAAAAAGGAAAAAGAAAAAGGGAAGCCTGTGTTAATAAAGAGTATAGGAAAGGAGAAAACCAAAGGAAGGCCGTCCTCACAGGGCAGATCAGATGGTTTTTTGAAGGAGAAGGAAGAGCTTAGGAGACAGCAGTGTGCTGGTGTATGGGGACTCACTTTATTAACATCAGTATGTGCTCTCAGTTCTTAAATATGGAAGAAGTGACTAAAACTCCAGCAGAAGAATAGCAGTCAGCTTTGGGCATACCATTACCCAATTTCTTTTTTCATACTGAAAATCAGTTTCTATTAGGTTTTCATTGGCTGTTTCCTTTGGCTTTTCATTAATTCTTTCATGTGTTTTCATGTGATGCTCTGCTCTGAGGCAGTTACTGCTCCTTTTGTGTGTGCCTCTATTCTTCTACACATTATTTCACTGTCTTCCTGTGGGTGTGGCTTTCATTGTGACCATATTTAGTAGCTGTGTGCTGGATATTCTATCCAGTTAATATATCCTATAGTTCAGAAGTCTGTTCCCCAATTCTTTGCTTTTCTTATTTTATGAAAAAAGCACGTTTTAAGAATTGAATTTTTCCAAAGTACTAGTGGACGGTGATAAAACTAAATTGTTGCTCTTGAGAAACTCGTAGACAAGAACATGGACCATCGGACCCCAAGCAGGGACTGTAACGTGTCAGGGATCACATTGGTACATATCTCTCAACACATATAAAAGAATTTTCCTTCTTTCCTAATCCAGTGCTAATGATCAAACCACAGGGTCCCCCAAATACTTAGCAGGTGCCCTGTCACTGAGCTACATTCCTAGCCCTCAAAGCTTCATACATGATCTAGGAAGGTTCAAATGTTTTCCATCTTGTCATGATTTTGATTTTTAAATCACTTTCATTGCAGCTATTTAAAAATATTCTTGTCTATCACCCCCACTTTTTGGTTAAAAGTTAAGATTCCTTTTTTCATTTATTTTCAAAGATATGATAAATTATGATGCATATTCCTTATGGTTTTTTATTGCAATAGGTTGTCAGTCGCTATAGCCCCATTGTGAGCTATAAAGCTGGTATAATGGCTCCTGAGTACAAAGGTACTCAGAAATCCACATTCCACTGTTTTATGTGAACTTTTGGTTTTTGTTATTTTCTGCTTTGTTTTTCTCACCTTCTCACTCCATACCAGAATCCACATGTATTCTCTATTGCTCCTTTGCGGGTTGATGACATGTGGGCTTCATGCCTGCAATGCCCATATCCCCAAAACACAAAAACTAAAGCACAATCCATTTGATCCAGAAGTCCAATGTTGACCATGTCTCAGTTTTTCCAGACATCCTAGCCTTACCATTGACTTCTCTCATTTTAATCTTAATTATTTTAGCCATCAGTCTATGTGATTGAGAATAATAATGCTTGATTATTTCCCAGGTTTCATTTGAGAACCCAGTGAGTGATCTGTGTATCATTACCCTCGTTCCTCAGAAATGTCAGCTCATCTTTCACTCTGCCATGACCTAGAGCTTCACTTTCAGAAACTATAGTCACTGGCTATTTATACTGCTTAAACTTAAGCTAATTATAGTAAAATAAAATTAACAATTTAGTTCCCTGGTCACATTAGACACATTGCCTGTACTCAGCAGCCGTCTGTGACTAAGGTGTTCCATACATGGCGATGTAAACTTAGGTAATTCCACTGGCTCAGCAAGACTTGGTTTAGAGATGGATTTTAATCTATGGCCTTTTGGCACTATGAGTAAGTTTCCTCATATTAGCCGTGATTTGGATCATGAAGTCCTTTATAACACTGTTTTACCTTGCTTCATAATTGTGTAGACGAGCTGGAATGAAGCTGTGTTTGTTGGTGTTAGGCCATAGATTCATTACTTTTCTCACTGCTGTGATGAAAGACCAGGTAAAAGCAACTTAAGGAAGGAGGCATTTATGTAGTCTCACATTTTGACAGTATGACGTGTCTTGGAGAGGGACTCGTGGCGGAAGATGATCACATCACATCCACAGTCCAGAAACAGGGAGCTTGACTTGCCTCCTCCTTTTAGCCCAGGACTCAGAACATGGGATGGTGCAGCTTGCATTGGAGTAGGGAACTCTTCCTTGCTCACTTTAACGCTTTTGGATATATCTTCATACACGTACCCAGAAATGTGCTTCTGTGGTGATTCTAAATGCTATCAAGTGATACAGATTCTCAACGGCCGCCACTGCTTTTGGATTGGATTCTGTAATTGTGCACTTCATAAATGTCATAATTCTGGATAGTTAACTAAAAAAAAAAAAAAAAAAAAAAAAAAAAGACAAACTCACAAAATAAGACAGGATTAGGTGGCTATTTGTGGCAAGTATTTAGAATGACTTGTTTGTACTGAAATGATAAATTCAAAGCAAGTATGGATAGCATGTTCATTTGTGTAATCTACAGAAACATTAGTAAAATGAGCATTCTCTATCATTTTCCCTCTAGGAAAGAGAATACTGTGCCAGGCCTAGACTGGACATCATCCAGCCACTTCCAGAGACTTGTGAAGAGATCTCATCTGATGCTCTGACAGTCAGAGGCTTTCAGGAGAATGAATGTAGGGATTATCATTTAGGTGAGACAACAGAGATCTGCTCATGTTCTTTCTAATACTTATCCTGTTGCCCTTCTATTCAGCTCACCCATGGAAAATTTAAATATAGGTGCCTACAGGACTTTAGAGACTACCTAGGCTAGCCTCTGCCAGTGAAAGCTGGAGTTCTAGACTCAGAAATACTGTGTATCTGTGTATCTGGCCTGAATGCATCTGTCATTTATGCATTAGATGGCCTTGACTCTAGTGAAGAGGGAACATTTATCGTTGACTGGGATGTAATTGTTCTGTAAGAGTAGAATAGCAATGTAAATGTGTTAAACTTAGGGTTTTAAGCCTGCCTTATTTGTATTGGTTAGTTTGTTTATAGTCTTGTCTTCTAGCCCTTTCTCCTTCCTTCTGTTGAATAGTTTTACACTGTGCTGCATTCAAGAGCATTACATGCGCCATTCTCACCCTCCTTGACTTTCCAGAGAGTCAAGCACACTTGGCTGCAGAGGTAGATAAGATAATTGACTGTTGAGTCTGAAATCATAGGCTAATTATATCCCCTGAAACTATTGCCACTTTGTAATATCGAGTCACCCAAGCTGCTCTCTCTCTCCTGCCTTCTAGAATACTCTGAAGGGGAATCACTTTTCTACATTGTGAGTCCAAGAGACGTTGTCGTAGCCAAGGAACGAGACCAGGATGATCATATCGACTGGCTCCTTGAGAAGAAGAAATATGAAGTAGTTTTGATTTTACTTTCTTAAAAGTATTGACTTGTCTGAACATAGAAAGAGAAAAGATTCTTATAGTAAATCTTTCATATTGAGCTAGTGTGCTCCAAACTAAAAATAGTCTCTCTCTCTCAGAAATCAGAGAACAAAAAGCATGCAGTCCGGTTGATCAGCTTTTCTGTTGAGGCGTGGGTTGGGGAAGCATGATTGGTTCAGAGAAGGGGGAGTCAAACAGAGCTAATGTACTAAAGCTTTTATGATAATTTTCCTGAAGCAATCAAAGTAGAATAAGTTTTTCAGAGTTTTTCTCTTTGAATATGTGTATAAAATTGCTCATCTTATCCTTATTTTGTGTATAAGGGAAAGATACCAGGTTTATTCTTACTTAGAATGGTTTGAACTAATTTGGGTGGAATGATGCTGTCTACTTCACTAAGCCATGGTTTTGACAAGATTAAGTAGACAATGTACCAACATGAATGATTTTAGGATTAGAGCAACATTTTATACAACTGTAATAGCTGCCAATATATTTCGTTTCTTAGGATGACTCTGAATGCTTTTGTGTGCCTATCAGCAGAAAGCAACAGTATCTAGTTTGTGTGGAATTTGTAAAGTGGAGTTGAGTTGTTATATATTAATACCTAGTATATAATACAGCTACTACTATGTTGTGTTGGCTTAAGTAATATTCTAGTGTTTCTTCCTTCCTTCCTTCCTTCCTTCCTTCCTTCCTTCCTTCCTTCCTTCCTTTCTTTCTTTCTTTCTTTCTTTCTTTCGTTCCTTATTTGTATATGTGTGTATATCTGTATGGATCTATGCACATGTATGCATGGGTGTTTATATTTGTTTATCTGTACAGAGGCCAGAAGATGGTATGGTCTGCCCTATACCACTCTCTGCCTCTTCTTTTCACAAGGCAGTGTCTTTTGCTGAATCCAGTGATCAAGTTTTCTCTGCTAGGCTGGAAGCCAGCAAGTCTAGCTCTCTGGTACCACTACTCTCAGAGCTGAGGTTATAGGCATTTGAAGAGACACTGATTTGTTACTGGGTATTGGAATCTGAACTCGCCTCCTTGTGATTGTAAAGCAAGTACTCTTAACTGCTGGGCCATCTCTCTAGCCCCTTAGACTAACATTTTATGAAATTAGTTTATGTGTTAATATTTATGTTAAACTGATACTGGTAAGTGTTTGGAAATATAAACATAATGTGATTTCCATATGCTTAATTGTGGACATGAAGACATATGTATGTTGTTTGCCTTTATTGAAACGTAATGGCAAACACCACACTGTCTGGGTCATCCAAGTTAGAACGACAGGTATCCTTTTTTGCTTGAACTCTAAACGATTTTGTTACTTTGATTTGTTTATGAAATGTGGTTCCAGGATCTTAATGTGGGAATGAATTCAAGTGAACATGAAAGTCTTCATTTTGGTTGAATATCTTTAAATTTGAATTCCATGAAGTTCATTCAACCATAACATTAAAAATTCCAGTGCCTTAAGAAATGGCCACAAGAAAATGAGGTTTTATTTGAGTAGTTCAGAAGTTAAAATGTAATATATAGTTTATAACTGCACTTGCTTTCTCTCCCATTCACCCCCATTTTCTCTCCTTGTTTTTGAATGGCCCTTATCATGATGCTTGTGTAATCATAGGAAGCTCTGATGGCAGCTGAAATTAGCCAAAGGAACATTAAAAGACATAAGATTTTGGTAAGTGCAGCATCATTATTTGAAACCTAACTGTTCTTACTAATGCTTATGGAAACAGTGATTTGAAAAGAACAAGAGCAGGTTCTTCGTATCTGTTCATAATTTGTTTGAACTAATTCTTTTACCTGGGAGGGAGGGCATTTGATTGAGTCAAGTTTCTTCTTGTAAACAAGAGACTTCACCACCTGCTAGGATGTAGCTTTAGGAAATTTCAAAACTGCATTTGGGCAATGTACTTTCAGTACAAACCTCTCCAGTTGAATGTATGGAAGCCTCTTTAAATCATGTGTAAAATCACATTATCACAAAATGTATCAAGACTGGTCTCTCCAAACTAGATTGCTTTGGTGTGGCCTTGATAACAAATTCAATTGATTTTGTTATGGAGACTATTCTAGGAAATCAAATACAATGTTATTACATTTTGGACTCTGCAAAAGTACAATGTCTAGAAACCTATTTCTCTGCTAAGTGTGACAGTGAATTTTGCAGGAAGAGACCTGACATGAAATCATATCCTCTACATATGAAGAGTCCTTATACAACATCGAGTCCATTACCCTTGTTTACAAATGAATACAAGAAATTTAGCCTTTTATGGCTAGTTGGGTTTCAGCACGAATTTCTTGTATGATTTTGTTCATCCTAAAATTCTCTGTAAAACTACATATACAAGGCATTAATTCCTAAAGAATACATAAGAAAAACAATAAACAAGTAAAGGGAAGGGAAAAAAAGCTAGAGATCTTTAATTTCTAGGTACAGCTGATGAGAATAGTAATTCATGAAACTGAAGAGGTAAAGCTGGACTTGATTCTAAAGGGGCACACTACTTAAAACTTGGTTCTGTTTTTGGAATGTGCAGAATTTAACCTCATGTTACTAACCAGGAGGTTAGTCTAACCATGGCACACTAATGGAGAAAGGATCAGAGGGAGGCCAGCTGGGATGAGGATCACTTCGGAGTCCTGGTGTAGTTTGTGTAGGAAGATGAGATCTGCCCAGGGCTGTGTAAATGAAGTTGGGGTCAAAATTGCTAGAGGGCTGTTAGCGGCAAACGCATCAGTTTTCCCTTGAGTTTGGACAAAGCCATCCATGGCAGGTGTGTGGTGTTGGAGAACAGAGGATCAGGAATGTAGTCATTTAGGGACTAATATGTACAAGACAAACTGAGATGAAGCAGTAGGTACTGTGTGCTTGGAGCTCAGAGAGAAGTACTTTCCAAAGACGGGAATGAAATGCTTATATACGTGACTGAGCAGATCAAAAGGCCAGACAAGCTCACCGGGTGATAATACCTTGAATTTGGTAATATTTTTCTTTATTTTTTTATTCTCATTGTGGCATAGGGAGTGGAAGTGAGCAGACAGCTGTAAAATAGAGCTTTACTAAGACTGAACGGAGGACTGTGAAAACACACAGTGTGCTCCAGCATCAGATGATGCTTGAAGTGTTCATGACAGAGACATTTTATTTTATTTCAATTTGTTTTGTTTTATTTTGTTTTTCAAGACACAGTTTCTCTGCATATCCCTGTCTGTCCTGGAACTCATTCTGTAGATCAGCCTGGCTTAAAACTCATGGAGATCAGCCTGCTTCTGCCTCCAGAGTACTGGTATTAAAGTCATGCACCACCACGCCCAGCAAGATAGACATTTTAAAGTGTCTGTGCTGGTGGGGCAAAGAAGGAATAGAGTTGGCACTTATAGTACAGAGGAAGAAGAAGTATACAGAATGAGTGACAAGGGACGGTGAGATGGTTCAGTGGGTAAAGGTGCCTGTCAACAAGGCTAATCACCTAAGTTCAGTCTCTGGGACCCACATGGCAGAAGGAAAGAACCAGCTCGTACAACATGTTCATTGACCTCTACTGTGGCATGCAAGTCCCCACACAGATACATACATGTACACACAAAAAAAGAAATATAATATTAAAACCACTGATAGAAAAACCTCTTGGATATTAAGATCTGATTTTAGTAAAATACTATAAGTGGAAAATATAATTTCCCAAATAGAAGTCATCTAATAGTCTAAAAATGATAGTATTTGCTTTAAATGATTGTGTCCTTTGCATTAATTCTGCATAGAACTTTCCCCCAGCACAATGTAACTCCTTACAAGATATACAGAGATAATGCTGGTGTCCAAGAGGAAGTGTTGTATACACCCAGTGGTAGAAGCTACCACATAAGTTTTGTTCTGTATACAGAGCTTAAGCTTCTGATGAAATGAGAGTCATATGGTGGGTGAAAGCTGCTCTCGCCTGCTGTGGTCACATGCCCCAGGTGGAATGTGTGAATTGACATGGATGCTCTGCACCCACATAGCTTCTCTCCATCATCTGTAGCCTCAGCTTGGCTCTTTGCCTTTCTGAGCTCATTTTTACTGTTGGTGTTAAGCTTGCATCTCCTGTTTCCCTTTAGTATGATTTTTTTTTCAGTTGAGCTAATTTTGTTGTTTTATTTTATTTCTTAGTGAAAATTATTTTTATTCATATAATACATTGTGGCCATGGTTTCCTCTTTCTATCCTCCCAGTTCCTCCCCTCTTCCACTCCCATCCAGACCCACCCCTTTCTGTCTCTCATTAGAAAACAAACAGCCATCTAAGGGACAATGATAAAATCAAATACAATCTAAAAAGAGAAAACAATAACAAACAAATAGGAATAGGAGAAAACAAACAGAAGGAAAAGACACAAGAAAAGACAGGAGAAACAGGTATATATGCAGAGACCCATTTCTGAAGGGAGAAAAAAAAGTCCTGACATGACATTATGAGAAAAGGAACCTCCAAAGATGCTATTGGGTTTGTTTTCTGTTGGCAATCTACTGCTGGCATGCTGCCTACCCATGAGAGGAGTTTGTTTCCCTAGACACCCCTAGAGAGAACAAAATTATCATTTGCAAGTGGTCACCAGTTGGAGATATCTTCTGGGTTAGGGATGTGGCATGTGTTCACTTCTCCTTTCAGCTCTAGGAACCCATCTGGTACAGACCTGTGCAGTCCCTGTGCATGCTGCCTAACTCTCTGCTGTGTTTAGAAGGCCTTGTTTTCTAGGTGTCTTCCACTCCGTCTTACACTCATTTTGCCTCCTCTTCTGCAGGGTTCTCTGATCCCTGAGGAGAGGGATTTGATGGAGATATCCCATGTAGGGCTGAGTGTTCTAAGGTCTCTCACTTTCTGCATATTGTTTGGCTGTGGCTCTGTATTTGTTCCCATCTGCTGCAGGAGGAAGCTTCTCTGGTGGCAGATGAGTATAGCAGAATGTCATTAGGAATCATTTCACTACTACGTTCTTCTAATTTACATTGCTTGTGCCCTATGTCCCTGAACTGTCTAGTTTTAGGTTCTTGGTCACTTGAGCAGCATCAAGTATGGGTTCCATCTCATGGAGTGGGCCTTAATTCAAGTCAGATATTAGTTGGTTACTCTCCCAGGGTTTGTGCCATCACTCTACCAGCACATCTTGCAGACAGATCACCATTGTAGATTGAAGAGTTTGTAGCTGGTTTGGGGTTTACATTTCCCCTTTGGTAGTGTGCAGAGTACCTTTTGGTACCAAGAACCCTAGCCAGAAGGGGTAACGGCTCTATATGGGCACCAGCTCCACTTCTCCGTGTTCAATGAGTTATGTAGGTGTTGGCTTCATCCAGTTTGTGGAGAGCAGCTTATAGCTTTGGCATCACTCTGGGTTATTTGGAGTTCCCATAAGACCCTTTTGGCCACCAACTTAATTAAATGTAACCCATTCCTGGTATTAGAAACTTCATTTGATAATGATGTTCAGTTAGGGCTCTGCCTCCCCTATTATTTGAAATTTTGTATCATATATATATATATAT